TTTGAAGTGTGGGAAGAAAACTGGAACATCCAGAAGAAACCCACGCAGACATAGGGAGAACGTGCAAACTCCACACAGTCTTCCACCCTTGGGTGTCTCTGAACCCAGGTCCCTCGTGCCATGAGACAGCTGTGCTAACTACTGAGCCACAGTGCCACCTTGCTGAAGTCCATATTGACAATGTCTACAGCTATCCTAACAGCACTGAAGGTGTAAGTGCACATCATGGACCTGCAGCAGCTCACCACTACCTTCTCAATGTAACAATGGATGGCTAATAACTGCTGACCTCGTCACAAATATTCCCATTCTCAATGATGGAGAAGCCCAGTACATCAGTGTAAAAAGATAAACCTGAAACTTTGATAACAATCTTCAGCTAAAGGTGCTGAGTAGGCCTCATGTGGAAGTCCTACAGATGGTGGACAGGCTTTGAATAGTCAGGAGGAGATATCTCACTACAGGATTTCTAGCCTCTGACTTGCTTTTATAGCCACTGTATTTATACAATTGATCCAGTGGAGTTTCTGGTCAACAGTAACACCCAGGATGTTGATACTGGGGGAAATCAGCAATGGTAATGTCATAGAGTGTCAAGAGGCGATTAGATTCTCGCCTGATAAAGATGGTAAAGAAGCCTGGATATTGTCCCGGTCTTGCTGGATTTGGACATTAACTCCTTCACTACATAAGGAATCACTAAAGTGCTGAACATTGTTCGCTGATGTTTACACATCCCCACTTCTTATGATGGAGGAAGATCATTGATGAAGAAGGTGAAGATGGTTGGGCCGTGGATGCTACCCGGAGGAACTGCCTACAGCTGTACTAGTCTGAAAGCACTTAATCTTATCTGATCTTGGCAGTTAAGCAGACTCATGCCTGGTTAGTTCTTGGATGGGAGACCACCTGGGAATACCAGCTGCAGTATGCTTGAGGGGCTTTTGGACACAGTGGTAATGTCCCTCCAAGCTAAGAGGCATGGGTTCAAGTCCCACCCACTTCAGAGTGTGGAACAACATCTCTGAACAGGTTAATTATAAAATATCTGCCCTGAGGAACTCCTGCAGAGATGCCCTGGAGCTGAGGAACATGACTTCAGCCAGTGGGGAGTTTTCCCCTGATTCACACGGACTCAAGTTTTGATAGGGCTCCTTGATGCCACACTTATCAATGAAGCCTTAATACCAAAGGCAGTAGTGCTCACCTCACATCTGGAGTTCAACCCTTGTCCGTATTTCATGTTTGAACCTAGACTCTAATGAGGTCAGGAGCTGGTTGACCACAGAGAAACCCAAACTGGGCATCAATGAGCCCGTTATTGTGAAGCAAACGTTGCTTGTCAGAACTGTTGATGACCCCTTCCATCAGTCAGCTGATGGAGAGTACTGTTGATTTGATTATTGGCAAGGTTGTCCTGCTTTGTGTATACAGGACATTACCGGGGTAAGTATCCACATTGTTGGGGAGATGCCAATGTATTAGCTGTATTGGAAAAGCTTTGTTAGGGGTGGTGCAAGTTCTGGTCTGCAAATACTAATGTCGGAATGTGGTCAGGGCCCACAGCCTTTGCAGTATCCACTGCCTCCACCTATTTCTTGATACCACATGGAGAGAATCAAATTGGTTGAAGACTGGCATCTGAGATGCTGAAGACCACTGGAGGACGGATCATTCACTCAGCACTTCTGGTTGAATATTGCTGTGAGTGCTTTAGCTTAGCCTTTTGCACTGACATGCTGGGATGTTCCATCATTCAGGAGGGATATTTGTGGAGCATCCTCCTTTTATGATTTGTTTAATTGTTCACCAAAATTCACAACTGGATGTGGCAGGACTGCAGAGCTTAGATAGGACTACTTGTGGGATCACTTAGCTCTTGCTGCTTATGCTGGAACCATATTGGCAGCAGAATCATAGGAATACGTTCGGTCCCTCTCCCTCCTTCAGGTGCTGCTGGTAGATTTGTAAGGTGACGGCGGACTAACGTGGCCCAACCGCTCCCATCTGCTTTCCTTCTTTGTTTTACTTTTGTTTCTGCTCTTTTGTTTTCCTCTCCATCAGGTGAATGATGGAAGGGGTCATCAACAGTTCTGACAAGCAACGTTTGCTTTGCAATAACATGCTCATTGATGCCCAGTTTGGGTTCTTCTATGGCTTTTGCTTTAGTTTCCTTTTCTTTTGGTCTTTTCTGTGGGAGGTTGGTCAGCAGCATCGGCGCAGCAGTGTGAATGGGCTGCATGTGGAGTTCTGGACATTGCTTCTCCTGGCGATAGGAGGCGAGCAGCAGCGAAGTCGTCTTCCCACCATTTGGGGCCAGTGGCAGCAAGGTTATCCTCCTGCCATTTGGGGCCAGTTACAGCAAGGTCATTCTCCCAGCTTCAGGGCCGGCAGCAGCAGCATCAAAACTCCGCCAGTGACCGGGGATGACAGCGTTGGCAGCGGTGGACTCTTCAAGATGGCGGAGCCAGCAAGGTGACATTTGCAGTCATAGCAGGACTTGTGGCCTGGCAGCAGAGCCAGGGATTCTTGGTTGTGGGATGAGGGTGAGGTCAGCAGCATCAGTGAAGTGGGCCCAGTGGTGAAGAGATAGCACCTAAAGTTGGGCAACGGCTGTGAACTGGGTCTGGCACAGGTAGCAGTGAAGTGGTGGAGGTCTCCCTTGAGACTAAATGCTGGCATGGACTGGGTCAGAAAGACAGATGTTCTAAACTTTTTACTTCTTTATTTTTCTAATTTGTTACCATGTCCTATAATGCTAGACCATTTATTTATATATGGAGTCATTGAGCTGTACCATATGGAAACAGACCCTTCGGTCCAACACGTCTATTCCGAACAGATATCTTAAATTAATTAGTCCCATTTGCCAGTATTTGGCCCATATCCCTCTCAACCCTTCCTATTCATTTACCCATCCTGATGCCTTTTAAATGTTTTAATTGTATCAGCCTCCACCACTTCCTCTGTCAACTCATTCCATACACACACCACCTCCATGTGAAAAAGTTGCCCCTTAGGTCTTTTTTAAATCTTTCCCCTCTCACCTTAAACCAATGCCCTCTAGTTTTGCACTCCACTACCCTGGGAAAAGACCTTGGCTACACCCAATCCATGCCCCTCATAATTTTACAAGTTTCTGTATGATCACCCCTCAGCCTCCAATGCTCTAAGGAAAATAGTCCCAGCCTATTCAGCCTATCCCTACAGCTCAAAGCCTCCAACCCTGGCACATCCTTGTAAATCTTTTCTGAACCCTGTCAAGTTGCACAACATTCTTGCTATAGCACAGATGTAGCCTCACTAATGTCCTGTACAGCCGCAACATGACTTCCCAATTCCTTTACTCAATGCACTGACCAATAGAGGCAAGCATACTAAACACCATTGGGCTGCAGGGTTCCCAAGCGAAATATGAGGTGCTGTTCCTGCAACCTTCGGGTGGCATTGTTGTGGCACTGCAGGAGGCCCAGGATGGACATGTCGTCCAAGGAGTGGGAGGGGGAGTTGAAATGCTTCCCAACTGGGAGGTGCAGTTGTTTATTGTGAACCGAGCGTAGGTGTTCCGCAAAGTGGCCCCCAAACCTCCGCTTGGTTTCCCTGATGTAGAGGAGGCCACATCTGGAACAGCCTCTTTGACCTGTCTGTCTCCTCTCCACCTATCTTCTCCTTTATCCATCTTCTATCCGCCTCCCCCTCTCTCCCTATTTATTTCAGAACCCCCTTCCCCTCCCCCATTTCTGAACATAGAACATAGAACATTACAGCGCAGTACAGGCCCTTCGGCCCTCGATGTTGCGCCGACCTGTGAAACCAATCTGAAGCCCATCTAACCTAAACTATTCCACTATCATCCATATGTTTATCCAATGACCATTTAAATGCCCTTAAAGTTGGCGAGTCTACTACTTTTGCAGGCAGGGCATTCCACGCCCTTACTACGCTCTGAGTAAAGAACCTACCTCTGACATCTGTCCTATATCTATCACCCCTCAATTTAAAGCTATGTCACCTCATGCTAGCCATCACCATCCGAGGAAAAAGGCTCCCACTGTCCA